GGTCGGAAGGCCATCGAGGAGGTTGGTTTGTTGCAGTCTAGGACTACCGAGATCGATGATTCCCCGAGCCATGGGAGCTCGGACGAGTTGACGACCGCAGTGGTGAGCTCGTAGTGCTCGCGGTCGCACGTGAAGGCGTGCGAGAAGGCGCTGCTCACGGTGATGACGCCGTTTGGTCCTAGCATCTTCAGCTTGAGGTAGGTGTAGTTGGGGATTGCCATGAATTTGGCGTAGCATGGCCGCTCCAAGATGATGTGGTAGGACCCTGGAAAGTCCACCACTTCGAAGGTGAGGACCTCCGAGCGGAAGTTGGCTCGGCTGCCAAACGTGACGGGTAGGTCGATCTGCCTGAGCGGGTATGCCTGCGCTCCCAAGATCACTCCATGGAAGGGAGAGCCCACTAGGCGAAGCTCCGATCGGGGGATGCGCATGGCATCGAGGGTGTCGACGTAGAGGATGTTGAGCCCGCTACCTCCGTCCATCAGCACTTTGGTGAGGCGCTTCTTGCGGACAATGGGATCGACGATGAGCGGGTAGCATCCCGATCTCGCGACGTGGGAGGGACGTCCCCTCCTTCCTTAGTTGGTTGGACTCCTGCTGGCAACTCTTGAGGTCCCAGGAGTTCCTAGGGCGGACATACGTCCCCTGGAAATTCCCGACGAAGACCCTCTTGAGGTCCGCCTAGTCGCGGATGCTGTCATGTGGGAGGAATTCAAGCCATGCCCGAACATGTTCCCCCACACAGGATGGGGAGATATTGAATGATGAAATAGTCATCATCCACCCCTATGGCTCGACAGGCGAGCCGGAAATCTTCGAGCCAAATACCAGGGTTTGTCTCCCCGGTGTACTTGGTGATGTTGGTGGGCGGTCGGAAGCGCCGTGGGAACGGCGCTCTCCGGATACGCCGGTCAAAGGCCTGCGGCCCCAGGCCCTGAGGGCTAGGACTCCGGTCGTCCAGCCAGCCACCATGCCTGGGGCACATTTCACCGCTCCCCTCGATGGTTCAGCCAGGATCCGTGTCGCCTGCTCTTGCCACCGCCCGGTGGATGTCATCATCGTGCTGGGCCTGATGCTGGTTGCTGATGATGCTGCGAGCGTCCTGGTGTGGACTAGGCCGCTCATGTACCGGTGGTCGGTGTGGAGTAGGCGCCAGGTCGGACCGAGGCACGACTGCCGCCCCCGGAGCCACACCTGGCAGCTGTAGCAGTGAGTGGAAGGAGCAATCCATCTGGCACGTCCCCGTTCCCCCGGTGGGGAGAGATAATGTGTGTTAGAGTCACGATGCAGAGGTTTCCGCCTGTTTAACAGTGGCGGCTTCTACTAGAACCCGGAGGTTCCGGTAGACTGCCCGCTCCTACGGGTCGACGGGCTTGGGAACACCGCGCAGAAGCATTGCTGCAGCAGCGATGTTCTGGCTAGCCCGAGCGAACTGTGGGAGAGAGTTTCCCTCGTTCATGATGTCGTGTTGGACCTAGCGGATGCGACCCCGGGTGCCACCCGCCGGGCCATGCGCATGGAGCGCAACGTGATGTACCGAGCGTGCCGGCGCAGGTGGCGGCTGGTTCTACCACCGTTGTCATAATTCCTCGGCGTGCGCTTGTGCAGACGCGAGGGGCCCCGCACGTGGGTCCATAGGGGTGTGAGTCTACGTAGATTCCACAACCACCGACGGCTGTCCTGGAGCGTCCGCCATAGCGCACTCCCGGGACGGACGGTGGCGAGGTGCCACGTCGCCGATGCTGGAGCCGTCGCTCTCACCCTCGTCATCCGGGAGTTCATGGAAGGTGGCGGAAGTGTAGCTCGCCATTCCCACGAATTCGGATGTGAGGGGGGATGGCGCCAGCATCCTTCGGAGCCCCCAAGCATGCGCATCCGTGGGGGACGCGAGGCCATAGGGGAACCAATCGTACGGTGTAAGTGGTGTGGGCAATACGGTCCCTCCGGATGATCGGCGGAAGATAGTAAATAAAGAGTAAATAACAGTACGCATATTACTTAAAGTGGGGTTTGAGCAGAGAGCTTGCTCGGAATGAAGCGCAGATGCCACGTCGTCGAAGTCGTGCGTCCCAGAGTCGATGGAGGGCGCCCCTCCGACGGGTGCCGAAACTAGTGCCTCCTCGCGGAGGTGCAGTATGCCGAGCCGGTCGGCGACGAAGTCCAGGCTTCCGAGGAGAAAGGTCTGGGACGGCTCGAAGATGGGTGGAACCCACATCCCAATAGATGGGAGTGCGGGAAACTCTAGTGAGCCGAAGCGAATCGTATCGCCTGAGCCCGCCATGGCTAAGGTGGCGGAAAAGTGGGCCATCCGATGACCAAAAAGTGTTGAACGTACAACGTCTTCCCCACGGACGGCGCCAACTGTCGGTGCAGAAAGTAACCAATAAGTAAATATTTATAGTTTTGCCGTACGTTATGATCGGAGGTGGCCTAGCACTCAATGACACAGTGTTTATACTGGTTCAGGCAACATATCCTACGTCTAGTTTGAGCCGGTTGGTGACTTTATTCCTGAGCCTAGGTGCTCAAAGTTTGTAGTGGGGTTACAAACGAGAAGGAGAAAGATAGGGTGTACAAGAGGTTCAGTCGGCTCTAGTCGAAAGGGCCGAGGGCGACAGAAGCTCCGCTATGAGCTAAGTGTTCAAGCGTGTGCTTGAGGTCTGAACCTGGTGGTTCTGTGGTTGTGAGCTAGTGAACTTGGTCGATCTAATGAATCTGGATTAACTGAGTTTCTTGGGAGAGAGCGCATCCCCTTTTATAGATGAAGGGGATGGCCTTACAAGTGAGAGGGAGAGAGTACATATGCTTCTAAACCTTGTTGCCCACGCCGGTAGGTACAGGATGATGGTAGGCGCCCATAACACTGTTGGATGTCGGATGCACGTGAGAGGCTGCGTCGTTTTGTTCGTGTATGGCAGATGTCGGTACCTGCCATACTGTTGATGCCTAGAGGCATGTGAGGAGTTTCACCATGTTCACTCGGTACGGTAAATGCCGGCGCCCACAACACTGTCGATGCCCAGAGGCATGTGGGGGGCCTTACCGTATGGGAGTTAATGGTGCCTACAATACTGTAGAAAAAATGTCGGCGCCTACAATACTGTTTGTGTCAAGGAGGTTCCAGAGTACTGTTTCTGCAGGTGTACAGGGTATGAATCCTGGTATCGTGGTTTTGACTTGTGTGCCTTGCCTCGCTTTCTCCGTTCGTTCCCTGGTCCTTTCCGAGCGGGTGTCCCCGGTCAGTTGGTCCCAGCCGGCTCTAATTGCGCCAGTCGGAGAAGAGCAGTGAGCAATGTATTTGCGTACCCCAGTCTGAGACGTGGGGTCAGAGTCAGAAGTAGTGCTTTGGCCAGGCCTTCTGGTCGAAGAGGCCGTCTAGAGGCGGGCTGGAGACCGAAGCGAGCGCTCCGGTCGGAGAGGTGGGCCGGAGTCGGAAGGCGGGTGCCGTTCCTCTTCGGCCAAACCTTTTAGTTGGTGATTGGATTGCCCTTCTGGCCTGTTCTTCAGATACTTCGGGCTGGCCCATGAGTTGCGCGCTGTCTGCTTGGGCCGAGTCTTTGTTGGGAAGCCGGTCTACGAGGGACTTCGGGTTTAAGAACCCGACATACATGTTAGAGTAACTTGCATCTACCGATAATATGATAAACGGATTTCTATACATATTATGTTTTTTAGCAACACACAAGCACGTTTGCTATAAACACAATCTCCATTGGGACATATCCTTTGCCCTAACCAAACCAACGACCGCTTTTCGACCTAACTGTCTAAAATTCTAAGAAAAAAGTCCACATTACTTTCCACAACTTTTGCGAAAATTTGCTTTTCCTCCCTGAACTCTAAAACCGGGTAAACCACCTTCCTGAACTTTTAAACCCATTCGTTTTACCTCCCTGACCGGTTATAAACAATTTTCAAAGACGTTTTTGTCTTTTTCTTTTTTATTTATTTTGGCTGAATCTTTGAAAAATCATAGTAAATTATAAAAAATCATAAAATAAAAAATCCAATTTTATTGGACTCTATATGAGTAGATCTACACATTAAACATATAATATGGTATGCTTTAGTACAATTTTTTTGTTGTAGCTTTAGATCTATGTTTTTCTGTAATTAATTCATAGCTGCAGTTTTAGGGTCCAATTGTGGTGAAATTTTTTATAGTGGGCTAATTATTGTATATTTGAACTGTAGTAAAAAATTCATACTCATTGGATCACACCTAAATAAATCTATAACTAAGTTATACATGATTCAATGAGTATAAAATGTTTACTATAATTTAAGCATACAATAGTTAGTCCACCATAAAAATTTCACCACATTTGAACCACAGAAACTATAGCTATGAATTAATTATAGAAAAGTATAGATCTAAAGTTACAGCAAAAAATTTATATTAAAACATATCATATTACATATTCACTGTGTAGATCTACTCATGTGGAGTCCAACAAAAATGAATTTTCCATTTTATGATTTTTCTGTGATTTACTATGAATTTTCAAAGATTCATTCGAAATAAATAAAAAAGAAAAGATAAAACCGTTTTTGAAAAACGTTTATAACCGGTCAAGAGGTAAAACGAACGGTTTTAAAAGTTCAGGGACGTGGTTTACCCGATTTTAGAGTTCAGGGAGGAAAAACAGACTTTCGTAAAAATTGAGGAAGTTAACGTGGATTTTTTCCAAATTCTAAGCTCCCTTTAGTCCGTATCACTCTATCTGGCCCGGTTTATCATGCCCAAACGGCCCAAACACGTCTCGCTAGGGTTTGTTGTTTGCTCCTCGTCCAGCCCCCTGGCCCCCCACCTTGCCCGCTAAAATGTTTCCCGCCATTTCGTCTCTCCATTTGCCGCCAGGCCGCCACCCCGCCTTGCTCTGCTCCCCAGATCCCTCGCTCCCTTTCCGTCTCCGCTCCCCCACGCCACCTGGTCGCCGGCTCGCCGCCCTGCTCACCAATTGCCCTCGGCTGTGCAGCGAGCAAGCAGCGGTGAGACGATGGAGGAGGAGATCCGAGCGGAGTTCCAGAGCAGCGGCTTCTCCATCGGGGGAGTCGGCCCCGAGGACGCCGCCCAGATCCTCTCCACGCGTAAGTACAAGCGTCCCCACCTTCCCCCTTGCCCTTCTCTGGTTTTAAGTTGGTTTTGATTTATGTTGATGTGTGTGTGGTGTGTGGTTTTGCTTGCAGTACTGACCTACTGCATCAACTACAAGATGAGCCCCGCGGACCTCGTCTCCAACTGGGAGGTCTATTACCTCAACAGGTCAGCTCTTTCCAGATAAGAATGTTGCGAATAACAATGTTGTAGCATCGTTTGCAGCTGAGATTTGGCTAGTCTTAGTGGCTGTAGGTCGTCTGAGTGCTCTGCAGAAAGGGCGTCTGCTTTCTATGAAAGTTGAATATAGCATCTTTTGCTGTTTAATTAAGCATGCCATCTGTATTGCTGTGCTGCTTCTTATGGATAAGATGCTCTTGGCTCAATGTTTATTTTTTGGCTGGAGCACAAACAACCACTTTCTGTTAACTATGATCAAACTTTGTTTGATGTCTTGATGAGTCATTAAACCCCATCAACATTTAGGTATGACTAAAATCTTGCAGCTCATGTTCAATATTCTCCTGTCTATTAAGAGATGCCTCCCTGATGATTATGGTTCCAGGGTCATTATATTTCTTTTTTTTGTTCTTTTACATGATGCAGCTAAGGAAACTGAAAGAACTAATTTATGCAGGCAATTGGATGGCTTAAAGCTTGAAAGCTTGTATCTTGATGGTTTTCTGTTACATCTTCAGAATGAAGTTAAAGACAGGATAATAAAAGAAGAAGCCAACCTTCTATCAGATTCATTTACGTGCATGCTTGTCACAGAAGTATATTTGTGTCGGTGCAAAAAGTGACCAACACGTAAATATTTATAGTTTTGCCATACGTTGTGATCGGACGTGGCTTAGCACTCAATGACACAGGGTTTATACTGGTTCAGGCAATGTGCCCTACGTTCAGTTTGAGTCGATCGGTGACTTTATTCCTGAGCCTAGATGCTCGAAGTTCGCAGTGGGGTTACAAACGAGAAGGAGAAAGATGAGGGGTACAAGAGGTCGGGTCGGATTCTGGTCTGAAGGGCCGAGAGTGATGGGAGCACCGCTATAAGCTAAGTGTTCGAGCGGGTGCACGAGGTTTGAACCTGGTAGTTCTGTTGTTGTGTACTGAATCGATCTAAGTGAACCGATCTCTCCCTTTTGGGAGAAAGTGCATCCCATTTTATAGATAAAGGGGATGGCCTTACAAGAGAGAGAGTGTGTACGTATGCTAAGTCTTGTTGCCCACGCCATCGGGTACAAGATGATTGTAGTCGTCCATAACACTGTAAATGTCAGGTGCATGTGGGAGGTTGCGTCGTCTTCTTCTGGTATGGCAGATGTTGGTGCCTGCTATACTGTTGATGCCCAGAGGCGTGTAAGGGGTTTTTCTATGTTCGCCTGGTATGGTAAATGCCGGCGCCCACAACACTGTTGATGCCCAAAGACATGTGGGGGGAGCCTTACCGTGTTTGTCTGGTATGGGAGTTGATGGCGCCCACAATACTGTAGGGAAAATGTCGACGCCCACAATACTGCTTGGGTTCTGACATACCAGGAAGGTGCAGGTGTACAGGGTACTGTCCTGCAGGTGTACAGGGTACGGTCCTCGGTATTGCGGTTGACTTGAGTGCCTAGCCTTACTTTCTCCGTTCATTTCCTGATCCTCACTGAGCGAGCGTCCCTGATCGGTTGGTCACAGTCAGTTCTGATTGTGCCGGTCGAAGAAGAGCCGTAAACAGTCGGTTCTGGGACATGTTTCATGAAGTGACGAACCTAAACTTTGGAAAAAAAAAGGTAATGAACAAAGGCAGCCTGCCACCCACCGTAGTACGATGCCATGCATATATATTACATCGTTGAAAAGACATTTGTAACATCTTTTTGCCTTTTTTATATGTATACACACATATACAGGGATGCATCTTTTCGTGGCGCCCTTGGCCTGATATTTGCATTTTTCTGTCCAGAGTGTTGGTGTGTGAAAATGTGGTCCAGTGTCACGTTCCAGGAATGCCACATGTTTTATGGACCTGTTTTTTTAATATAATTTTTGATTTTTTGGTAGAGTTTGTCTTTTCTGGTTCGAGGAAAACGTTGTACCAGGGTTGCTCAGACATTTTCTGTTTGGCAAGAAATGAGCACGTGCAATACTAATCATCATCTCCTATGCCTTTTTAAACAAAAAATGGACCAACTTTAGAAATCAGTTATCTTGTGCTATGCAGCGGGTAAAAAATTCCCTTGCATTAGATCGGATGCTTATGTCAGGATTTAATTAGAATCATGCCATTATAACTATGATGGCCTCGAGATATGCCTCTGCAATTCACATATTGTGAAATATGCTCTACTGGAACTCATGTAACTCGTATTACCATTGAAATTGTAGTGGCATGGTTTTAATAGAAGTCAAGTTTTAGTGGTATGATTCCGAATACATGAATTGTATTGGTCCCCACCTGCCCCCCTCTCTCTCACACACTCGCCGACAGGTGGACCCCACCTATCGGGTCCATCCCCAACCTCTAGCCGGTAAAAAATTGCCTTGCATTAGATCAGAAGCTTCTTGATGTCAGGGATTAATTAGAACCTATATGCCATTACAACTATCATGATTTCAAAATATGCCATTACAATTTACATTACATATTATGAAATATGCCACTAAAACTCCCTGTAGCTCGTAATACTATTGAAATTTTAATGGCATGATTCAATATAACTCAAGTTTTAGTGGTATGATTCATAAAACTACTCAAATTATAGTAGTACTTTTTTCAAACAAGACTAAATTATAATGATATGTTTCCGAAGACATGAATTGTGTATCTCCAAATCATGACAGTTATAATGGCATGGTCCGGTCTTGATGTCAGTTCCAAGAAACCACAATTTATTCTGAGGTTCGTCTGAGGTCGATCCATACCATACTGCTAATTTTGTGTGTTACAGATGGACCGTCGAGTGAGTTTGCCCAGCTAATTTGATTTGAAGAAGACTTCTCTTCCAAATTAATTGTTAACAACATACACACGATAGTGATATCCAATCCAGCCAACAAAAACGCGCGCGTGCTGAATTTGCTCCGGACAGCAATATGAGTGAACGGAAATGCTGCAGAAATGATCATTGCTGCTTGCTTTCCTTCTTCCTTTCCCTGAAGTACGCCAGCCACAGGCTGGCCACCCACAGGATGCTCACCGCTATCCCGGCGCCGATGACGACCGTCCACGACGCCCACACCCACGCGGGCACGCGGCCGCCTCCGCCGGAGGATGACGCGTAGAAGCCGCCGACCATCCTGATGAACCAGGCCGGCCCGAGGACGGCCCTGGCGGCGGTGTACGCGGCGTAGAACGGCAGCGAGAGCCGGGCGTAGAGCCTGGCGGCCAGCGGCGAGTCGTGCCGGCGCATGGCGGCGAGCGTCCACGCATTCTGCGCGGCGCTCGTGGCCTCCGCGAGCACCACCAGCGGCAGCAGCGCGGCCGCGCCCGCGGCGGCGGCGTGGCGGCAGGTGGCGAGGACGTAGAGCGTGGCGAGGTGGTGCGAGATGAAGAGGGCCTCGTCCCGCAGCAGCAGGAGGTAGTGCGCGAGGTCCACGGCGAAGTAGGCCGTGCTGAAGTCGAGCACCAGGTCCTCGGCGGCCGCGTTGGGCGCCAGCGTCACCGCTGGGAGCGCGAGGAGGAGGCTGCGGGTGGTGGTGCCGGCGCCGCTGGCGCCGTGGTAGCGGGACAGCAGCACGGCGCGGAGGGCGAGCAGCGCGGCAGGCGTACCGTGGAAGAGCGAGGTGAAGCAGCTGGCGGCCTCGGCGCGGCGCCGCGGCGGCCCCCAGCCACGGAAGACGATGAAGTAGCCGACGAGGTAGATGGACGCGAACATCGCCAGGAACGGCAGGAACATGGACTCCGCGTCCCCGTCCGCGCGCGGCGTGGCGACGGCGACGACGTGCTCCTCCATGTGGGATCAGAGCAGAAGGCGCTCAGCTAGCTGCTAGTCACCGCGGATAGATGAGCCTGAGCCGAGTCCGCCGGCCGCGCCGCGTTCGTTGTCTCGCGGGGTGAAATGAAACTGAGAGAGTTGGCTCGCGCGCTCGCAGCGTGACTGGCTTGGGTTGGCTCGTCTGTGAGTTGATGAGCTCTCGCTTTCTGGCGTGGCAACAGTACGTTTCGCGCCACGCACTTGAGGCACCAGCAGAGCATATTCTGCTTTATATTTCTCAAACCCTGCATATCCTCTTTGCTTTTTGCTTTCTTAAAAAGCAGAGAATTTATTCTCCTTATAAAAAAGAAAAAAACCCTGCATATCCTGAGAGTCGAGAGCGACGCCAGCTACTCGCTCATTTCGGTCATATGTATACTCCTGCCAGTAGTTGTCTAAGGACAATTTTATTAGTGTATATGTATGCTTCTCCTCCTCAGAGTGTTACACCAAAACATGTCGGTACGCGCTAGCTTATCAAAACTCAACAGTTGGTCCACTGTATGGCTCATATAGCACTACCAGTGTCCCATATATACTCTCAAATTGGAAAACAGCTCTTTCTCCAATCTCCTTTGTCTACCGCATGCAGGATGGTGTGTGTGAGCTGTGAAGGTGAATGATTCATTGTTTATTTCTTACACCCGGTGCTCAAGTTTGCACCATGCAAGAGTTAGCCTATTAGCACCTCTTCCAACTTTTGATCCAGTGCATTGCATCCCTTTCATATCTAGTACCTCTCTCTCTTCGTAGCACTACCAAAAAGACATGCTAGAGATGCCCTGATGGCTCCACCTGTTTCTGGCCTACACTTTTGCTACCAATTTGCTCCACGTCCAGAGGAGGACCCTGGTTTGATTAATTGGATATAGACGAATATTTTTTATATCATATTTGTTTTATATTTTTGGTCAAAGTTGAATATACATAATGTTGGATACGAATATAAGGACGGAATTGTCTACGGTTATGAACACCAATGTGGATTTTTCTTGATTACAAAGACAAATAAATATATATCGAATACGTGACACGTTAGATCTGAATAATATCGGTCATAAGTATTTCTTCAGATATTGAGCGACGAAGACAACGTACCAAGTCACATAAAGTAAAATGCTAAAAAAATTATAATTTCTTATATTAAGAACGCATTCTTGAATTTTAGTATTTTTTTAATTTGAATATATTAATATATTTTAGTGAAGTTGAATTCAAACTT